TCTGGCAGGTATCACCATTGCCTTGAATGCAGATAACTGATTTTGTTATGTAGAGTTGAAAATAAAATATTGGTCGAGAAATGAGCTAATCTCCTCTAGTTATCATAGCTTCCTATAACACCGGCGACAGTACCATCCGACTCGGGCGACACCTCAAGAATAAGCGGATGTTTGGATTTTTTCCTTTTTTCGAGCACCTCTTTATTTGTAAGGATAATACTATTCATTTGATTATGTATTGCACTTTCTATGGTTTTGCTACATTCTAAAAAACAATAAGTGTAATATGACGCAGTCAACAATTAAGGTTTAGCACGAAGTTGTGACGCCCTCAAAAGCATTCAATGCCGAAAAAGCCCTCACAACTACTACATCGAACTCCCACTTTCCTATATGCGATCTAATGCAGTAACGGACCACTATCGACGGAAAGCGTTGGTTATAGCAGCCTCGACAACATCTGCTGTCTCAGCAGCATCGCGATGAAGTCTACATTCGTCGTCTTCCCTGATTCACGGATCAGCGTTTCCATCGTCGCTTCGTTTTCATGTCCAAAATCGTCGTTTTCATCGCCTCGTGGTCTACCGGGGCAACAAATCCCTTTGAAGGTGCAGACTTGCACCTTCAAAGGGATTTGTTGCCCCGGTAGACCACGAGGCGATGAAAACGACGATTTTGGACATGAAAACGAAGCGACGATGGAAACGCTGGCTCCCAAAAATTAGAAACCTAGATTAGGATGATGTGATGATGGCGATTTCCTTGCTTCAGATAAGTGTCTGATTTCTCGAAGCTGGCCCATTGTGTTCAGCTACCCTTTGCAGCAAGTTGTTTACTATGTGAAGCTATACTTAAGTTCTATTGACCAAAAAAACCTTGGCACTTTCGGGTTGGTGGGGTATCACCGAACATAGCAATCAGTTTGCAAACGCAGTGGGAGGTAGGACTGCTACAGCTACCATTGAAACACGCCGATGAAGGTAGAAGGTTCTTTCAAAGGAGGGAAGGGGAAGTGATCGTAATGACCTTCGGGAATTGGCCATGCTCCGCTTGTCGAGATTGACTCGCCAAGGCGAAGCGGTTCTTAACAATGATGTGTAATACGTATAGAATACTTTGGTTAATATTGTAAATTTTTGCAAGCAATAAATAAATTGATATTCAAAAAATACTGATACTAGCACAACCCAAATGACTACCAAAGCCTTCCATGTTCTAGGATAAAATAAATGATTGGTGTTTTCTTAGAGTGAAGGTTTTTTTCTGCTTTTCATTGCTCCAAGTGTTCTTGTGTTGACTACATGAAAACTCGATCATGATCTGTTTTGTTAAGTTAAGTTGCTTAAGTTGAGCTTGTTCCAGGTTCAATCCATACGATCGAGCTCCGTTCCGAGTGCTTCGAGAAGGCGACGAGTCAGAAACGTATGCCCGTGATGCGCTAGCCTATTACAAGGCTTATGTGACTTTCTCTCAAATCTGCCATTCCCCTCAGAACGCGACGACGATCGCGCTTCGTCCCGGAACAGTGATTTTCCTCGACAACTTTAGGATATTTCATTCAAGGACAAGCTTCAAGGTGAGCCGATTTCTCCTACAAAGCTCATCGTCAGGATTCTTCAGTTTGCCTTTCGCCACAGCTCCCATATTGATAACATAGGTAGTAGATGTGCCCAACGATGGGCAGTTGTGCTTAGGGATACGCTTTTCTCCGATCTCATCACATTAGGTGGTTTTTACTCTTACGTGAAATTGTAGTAAAAATGCCTTCAAACCAAGCGTAAGAGAGTGCGGAGAAGTTTTCGTAGGGAGTCCACGGGTGCAGCTGGGGCGATATGTGTATAGTACCATCGAAAAACGTTAACCACTTCTAATGGGAGAATTCACCAGAAATCACTCTTGATCAGATTACAGGTCTAAACGCACATCTCCCTAGACAGGGAAATCCTAAAATACGGCTAGCCGGTTTCGAAAGCCGTGGTGGGGACTAATCAGACAAGCTTGTACGAGTATTATACTTACTAATTTTTATAGTAACCGGTCCGAACCACTACATTGGTAGTCTAAGACAAGATGTCGTCATCAAGCGCATGGCGCAGAAATCCAACCCTGAACTGAAATACGCTCAGATCGTTCTGGAAAGCCTCCTCATTGTGAGCTTTATTGCGATTGACCCATAAGGTGAACGGCCCAGGTAGCTTACGAATTGGTCAAACGGGTACTACGATCACGAATGGACTGAAATGCATAGCGCATCACAAAAAATATAAAAGGCACACCATGCGATGGGTTTAGGTAGAACAGGACCTGTGAGTAAGTAGTATAAGGCTCTCTCATCAAAGTTCAAGATTTCTTTAGTTTTTTTTTTTAACTTGAAAGTACTTTACGATGGCCGACTTCCAAAGACCAAGGAAAATTCGCTCCATTCTTTTGAGTGAGAACATGCCCGATCTCTGCACTTCCGGCTATTCTCACCCATCAAACCAGTCAATGGCTCATCATTATTCATTACAAAAATGGGAATTTCAGAGCTCAGAGTCTGACCGAGGAAGTTCTTGAGGGATATACCTTCTCCTTCACTGCGCGGGTCCACCTCAGTTTTTGCTTTCACTTTTCCTTTGCAGAAAACACGCACAGCTTTAAGCCGTGATGTGGTGAGTTCTACCACGGAGGCCGATCGCTCTCCTTTTCGGTAAGTAAACATTGCCGACGTTGGGGCGAATTCCGGTAAAAATGCCGATCCATAAAATGAGTGGTAGGCTTCACGGTGATTCGTCGGACGTCATAACAACTAATTACTGAACCCAATCAGATGACTAACGATTACTCAAGGGGTTCAATACCTGGTCCCTGCTCCCCAAATTCTTCTACAATGAGCTCTGTTATTCTCTGGCTGTGTGTGACACAACATGTAGACTACACAGCTCATGTTACGAGTAACAAGTTAGAAGTCACAGCAGACATGCTTTCTTGACTGTAACAACATGAGAAGGAGGGCGCAATATATACAGGGACCGGATTGTGTTGAACCGGAAGTAGGTTAACGCATGGTCTCAAAGTAAACAAATTTTATGCCGATATTAGTCGATCACAGCGCGTGCTGGGTTGATAGCGCTGCTTAGCAGGAGCACGGTCCGGGGATCAAATCCTGGCATCGCGAATTACCTTAGGCCACTGAAGCCTTCGTCTTTAAAGGAAGCCCAGTTGTTAACAGATATCGTTTCGGAGAGAAATTTTTGAATATGCAACACCTTGCTAACGCTCGCCAATTTATTGTACAGCCCCTTTCGAAAACCGTCTATTGTATCCTTTGATATGAGAACTGGAATGTTCAAGCGCTTCATCGCCGTGACTCTCGGGACTGGATTTAGCTGGCCCTAGGTTCAGACGTGCTTAATTCTAACTCATACTTCTCTTGGCCGCTTCCCTTGTTAGTCGTCAAGTGCAGACCGCAGAACTCGGGGCGAGGGTTATCTCTTCCACTATAGTCTTATGGCAACAGCGAACACCTGTGCTGTGACGTGGTGTCGTCAGCCTGGCTGTCAACCAGGGCCTGAGCTGGTACCTTAGAAACAATTTTTTCAACTTTAACTCAATTTTTGGTCAAGCATGCTTGAGCTTTGACAGAAGACCAAACCAGTGGTCGTTGAGGAAGTGCAGATATGAGCTTACACTACTACAACTCGACAATTTTGCTCCATTGTTGATTTTCATTGTTAGTTTCAAGGAAGTGACGAGTTTTGGATTGCGCAGGAGCATTTAGATGAGTCGTTGCAGCGCAATTACGTGAACCACCTTCTAACCCTACCGGTGTGGTATGCAAAAGACTTGCTCCCAACGCCTCTCACTAATTGATGGGCAACTTTGGAACAAAACCGTTCCTGCCCGCCCCAGGCCTCTGATTTCACTCGTTTAACCATTATTTATTTTTATTTGTTTTCTATCCATACTCTCATATCGCTTAGTTATGAAATTTTTCTCTTACAGCCGAAGGTTTAATTACAGCCAAAAGTTGAAAATAGCCAGAGTTTCAACTCATTTGTAAAATGTGGAAAAAATTCCTGAATCCAACCCAACTGCTGTAATAAAGAACCGACTTATTGCATTTATAATATAACTTCTTTATCACAATATCTTTACTAGGGTTACCTAGTAAAGTCTGGCGGCTACCGGCTTAGGGGCTGATGAAAAGATTAGGAACACCGTTAACACGTTGACGACAGCGCAGGACACATACGTCCCGCATTTTGTAGGCCACGTCGGACAGCGCGGGACGTATGTGTCCTGCACCCATCTAATGTAGTTTTTTCGCCCTTCCCTAACTTTTTCCTGGCTTTTTTGTACTCAATCGATAGATTCTGCTTTATCATAACTATAAGCGATGTGGTCCGCAAAAAGGTTGAGGTAAGCTCAAATTTTGCAAAGGTTATCCAAAGCCTGTGAAATCTTTGGTTTTACGTCATATTCGAACTCTTTGTGGGTGAGTATGGAAATAAAAAAACAATTAGATACGAAACTCTACGAATAGAAAATTCTTGACTATTGTTAGTTCGCTGATAGGATCCCATATAATAGTAGGTCGCTGAAGCAATTCAACGCAAAAGAATTACTGTTTTGGGTTAATTTTATAAACAAATTCATATCTGCGCAGAAACATGGAAAATAGGCCTGCATGGTTCAGATAGAGAAAAGTTGCAGATTACGGAAATTTCCTCGAATTTACGAAAAATTGAACTAAACAAACAGGATCCTTGAAAATGTCGTCAAGAGGGAACACCGATGTGTTGCATGGACAACTTTCCGCTAAGAGCTATTAGTTGAAACACTCCTATGCTGAGTAATCTTGACAAGCCTTGGAAAGAACAAATCTTGTGTTCACAGCGTTAGTAAGAAAAATGGGTCTTGAGGAAAATTTGGCTCTTGGGCGAGTCAAAACTCCTTGTCCGAAACTTGTCAGCGTTATTTTTCAGGGAAGAGTCAAGTACCAATATGCAGCATAAGTTTAATACTTTATAGAAAGTACAAGTGAAACTAAAATGTGCTTCGTTTTATATGTTGTCGCTGAATCAATTTTTCGCCGCTTCGTATTTGACGCTCTTGTTCGAGGCATCCTTCAAATTGCCTCACTTTTTACACTTTGTTCCTATCAGATTACGACTTCGCATTGTACGCTAGATCGCTCAATGCTTTATCTTTATTACCTCCTTCTAATGTTTCAATTTTCTTAGCTTTCCTTACTTGATGACAGGAAAAAATTCTTGATATTGCCACCAATTCTCACTCTTTTTCGCCCTAATATTCGTTAGTTCACGGTGAATCTTTCTTAAATAACTTACTTTTCTGAACGCTTTTATTAATTGAATCAACTACTGTGTTTCGGGCCTTTTTCAGTTGCGACTTCAAAAAACGCGCCTTGACAGACAGCGCAGGACGCATGTGTCCCGCGGCCGCCGCGCTAGCAAAATCGCACATGTCCATCGCGGCCAAAATAGCCAAAACGCGCGTTGTCGTCAACGTGTTAAAGATAGTTTTTCAAGAGATGGCGACAAATGTGGCGGATGTTACTGTCCAGGGACAAGATTTCCATGCAAAAGCTCGCACTCACGGCTACGGCGGAGAATTCGACGATTCGTTTGAAAAAGCGACGTGGTCTAGACAAATTGTATTTATTCACTTGCATAAATTCAAGAAAAATCGGAAATCACAGTGGAAGCATTGGAATAACACAATGTACAATATGTATTTCATAGAAGGCCACAGAAAAGGCTCCCTAAGAAGTGCATCATCTGAGAACTGATACCTAAACGAGAGTGATCCGATCTGATCAGAGCAGACGTCGTCGGCCGCGCGACCGCGCGCGACCGATCGACGTCAAACACCTCACAGATGACCAGAACTATAAACTTGTTCTCGTCACCGAAGAACAGACACATGTGCGTGCTCTCTCGGAATCCTATAGAATACATCAGAACAAATGGCACAAATATAATAGAACTAGTAACAAATATGATATGTGTCGCTTTGTTATAAATAGAAATTTATTATATATAGATTTCAGAAACAATAATTTCGTAATAGGCACAACTGACTAGGAATCGATGAGCAAATTATTCTAGTGGCTTCTGAGAAAGACCCGTACCGGATTATTATACCTGACTCATCTGATTTTATATATGAACAAACAAAACACGATGAAGGAAAGATCTGAATGGAAACATGTATAGATGCAGCACTGATATTGTTCTACTGCCGCGAGGATCACGCTAGTACGTCCCTAGGCTAAAGATCCCATGTGGGAACACTCTTGCCCGATGATCGCTGACATCGCAGCGATCAGTTGTCCGCGGGGTTTTTGCGAGGGCGGGAGTCTTTACGGACCGAATTCTGTCCTCGCAGGAAGCGATCCTTGTCGCGAAGTGACTGCCGTTGTGAGGACGGTTTCGAGCCGTCAGCGCCACCACCGCCACCTTCGTCGTCAGAGACGTCCTTGTCGTGGACCCGATACTCCGGATTCGTCATATACCAGTGCAGCATCAAATCATATAAATACTTATATTCATCCTGAAAAATTCTCTATTAAGTCACATACGTGTTAGCAGGAGCTGGGTAATTTCAACATAGAAATAGACAGCTTAGGAGGCGCTGGTAGGGGGAATGTTGAAGGCGCCCTAGAGACAACAGTAAAGGAGAATGGAGAAGAAGTGCTCGAAAAAATTCAGGATTAACGGCCGCGGTCGAAGCTTAACGAGATCGCGAGCGACCGGGCACCGAGACTCAGAAATTCAGAGATGAGAGAGTGTAGGGGACAGCGAGATGCACGGGTGTCCCCCAAGAGGCCCATCGCGCGGCGAAGGAAGAGACGCAGACGCGGCAAAGGACGAGTCGCAGCGCATACTGTAGCGGTTAGGCGTCAGGTTAAATAGAGTGTACCATACTACGTCTCATATCGCACAGCACGCGCTGCGACTCGTCCTTTGCCGCATCTGCGTCTCTTCCTTCGCCGCGCGATGGGCCTCTTGGGGGACACCCGAGATGCACACGCCACGCATTCGTAACGGTCATAGGCTTCTATCCAATGAGTTGGAGCATTACGTCAGTGTAAGACGTCGCCTCTCTAATCCATTGCTTCCGTTCCGGGATCCCCGCATAGAACTACGAAGACCACGTCCACAACAACGATTGACCTCGCAGCCTGCGAAAACGATGAAATATAAGTCTCAAAAGTGGCACTATCTGCGAAAACGGACTACGGGTCATTTGTAGAAGAGACTTCTAAACTAATAGCGCGATGTGCCTTCGAGCTCTATGGGAAGGCAGGCGTCTTCGTAGTCTTCGTAGTGCTCTGCGGTGGTTTCGGAACAAAGACGTTGAACGAAAAGAGACGCGATGTCGTGCTTTGACATAATGACCTATACGTGTGAGTTAGGAGTCTATGGCTGGTGCGAATGCGGTAGCGTCTACGTCTCGCTGTCCACTACACTCTCATCTCCAAGTTTACTCCTCTATTGTACAATATGTTCTGGAAGTTTTACGAGCGAGAGGGGGTTGTTGGAGAAAAATGTAGAGTAGAGAACTTAGTCTATGGAAGCAAAATATAAGAAGGGGAGGCTCTGACATCTAGCAGACAGCTCTACCTCCAATTGTATTAAAAAAAACTAGAGCTCCAATGAAAAAAGAAACCCTAAGCCAAAATATCCTGAAGAAATGTTCAGAGTCTTAAACGACAAGTAAATGGCGTCTATTTGCCTCTTTTAAGTTTTCAAAAATATTCGAAGCATCGCTCGGCATAAACATTCAAGAGTTTGAACACATTGTCCCGTTGTACGATCCCGAAAAAGATGTCTCGGTGCTTATTACGAGCGTGAACCCAAACTTTTTAAGCTTTCAAAGAATCCACTTAATAAAGAATAAATGGCCAGAGAACGAAAATGACCGACGTGAACAATGGCCTTAAAAGAAGACTATCGGTCTCTTGTACAAGTGGAATGTCATGTGAGGATTCGGAACGAAATTTCTTTGTTATGAAATACAAACATGGACCGATAAAATCTCTCCATTGATGGGCTTATGTAAATTACCTTGTTTTTTATTAGTTTCACCCCTGAAATGCGCGACTTCCTATTGCTGACGCTGTCGCCAAATTTTGGACGAACCTTCATATCGATGAGCTGTGGTCGATTAATCCGCATCATTTTCACCGCATGGAACACATCAACTTCATGGTCCGTGTCCATCTGGTCGATACATATATTAGCTCCAATATATACTCCGACCCGAGAGACTCCATTGCTGCAAATCGAAAGTTTTATAGAAATCGCCGTAACGTCGAAAAGTGGTATTCTGAAGGCGAAAACTAACTGTGACATTACTATCGTTGGTTTGCTTTCTGGCCGATCAGGAGCTCGTCGTCGCCAACTGCGCGCCATCTTGATGACGTCCATGAGACCTGTTGTGGACAATGGCACCTTGTTCTCAATGGGCCACATCCTTACCTGAAATTGCACTAAGAAAATTCGGAGAAACAATTACCCGACAAAGTCAGACAAAAAGAGTAATTTTTCTAACATAAATCTCTTGCGCAAAAAATATGGGGACTTGCCGTGCCAAGGGTCACGGATTAGTATCTGTCCCCTGAATAGGTCTTCCAACAATGGTGGGTCAGACTCACAAAGACCTGTTGAGATCGTTCAAGGGCAGAGGTCACAATATTTAAACCAGACATGCCAAAATTTGGAAAATTTGCCCAAATTGTGAAAGACAAGCCGACGCTTTGCGAAATCTTTGCGTCAAAAGGAGCTCTTGAAGTGACATAGGAAGGCCTTTCAAAGTTCGCTCCACTTTTCTAGGGTCTCTTGAACGGTGATCCTCATCAGCCTGCGCCAAAGCCCTTGTACCTGACGCAGAACACAACCTTGTCGATCCTGGCTATTGTAGAAGAGCGGTGAATCCCATACATACCCACCACCTTCAAAGGCACGCTTCCCTATGGCAAGATAAGGGCAGCAGGATTCTCTAGTGAAACAGCACGTGCTTGTTGGTCCAAAAGTAATAATAAGCTAAGGGAGCCACCGTGAGTACCCTGGAATCCTTTGCTCCTCATGGATGGTTTCGATTAATCATTTCAGACAAAGAGACAAGCGACGAGGCGCTGAGAAAGCGCACTTCCCATATGTTCAGGTGTGGGGTTTGGGTAGACCCAGTTCCACAAAATTGGCGCACAACACCCCTACCAATAACCGCTCCGCTGCAAGTAGAGGTGTTATCCGTTAAGACGAGGAGCGATTATGAAGGACATAAGATCGCGTATTCGGCAATGATTAGTCCCTTTTGAGATGAATACGTAATTCTTCCATTCAGCATCGCAATGGCATTTTAAAAGCGATTTAGCCTAAGCAATGACTTGCGGGGACGGGCGATTGGCAAGTCAGTTATCCCCCCCCTCTTGGACAACCTTGGTGTTAGTTTACGGCCCCCGGAGAGATAGAAGGCTTGGTTGGCGGTGTAAGATCTAAGATTTGAACCCTGGACCTTGAGCATGGTAACTAGCGCCACTTGCCACTACGTTGGTCCGTCCGGCTCGCCATAAGATGTGGCGAACAATTTGGAAGGTTCCACAAGAATGCTGGGTTATGACAAAAGGTTTGCCCCAAATGGGAATTGAACCCATACCTCTCGTTTACCGCTCAACTGTGGAGTTCTTGGTTAGGGCGAGACGGTGCCCAGGTAGCGTAACTGGTAGCGCACTTGCCCGGAAAGCGAGAGGTGCGGGTTCTAGTCCCGCCTGGGGCGAAAGTTTTGTTCACAACCCAGCATTCTTGTGAAACATTCGCAACGCGAACTGCGGCGTTAAAACAGCAGTTAACAAACAAAACAAGCCAAAAATTATTTGGGAGCGCTGCAAAAGCTGCAATAGCAGTGGATAAATGAAAGCCCTTTTTTTACCCTTTCTAACTCCAACAAAGCAGATTAACGAAGGAAACAGATAGAAGAATAAGAAGTAGTGAAAGAAGTTGCCTCTGAAAGTTCACCTGTATGACGCAGCAGATGCGAACTTCAGTATCTATTTGTTGATTGCTGGAAGCGTTTGACATGATGTCCGAAATCATGAATGTCTGGAAAGTAACATCTGCGAAGCGAACAAAATCGGAAAAAAAATCAATCAAATGGGGAAAAGGTGTTAGCCAGTTTAAAGGGGGGAAAGGCAGACAGAGGGACACCATGCGATTAGAAGGGGAGAAGCGTGAGAAGAGAGGAATAGAATGGCGAACACAAAAGAAAAAGAGAATGCACACAGAGGACTCAACGACACACCAGCTTCTGAATTTGCTTCGTGCTCTCCTTTTGTAAATCGGCCTTCTCTCGTCGAATATTCAAAAGTCGGTTAATGTCAGCAGCGCCCCTCTAAACAAGATAGCACGTTGTCACTACATTGAACGAACGAACGCACGCTCACAGACTCACAAACGAGAGACTGCTCACCATGGATAACTCAAACGAATCCAGGTGAGAGTAACTGAATCAAGAGGGGGAGCAACAGGGGTGGGATAAGGTAGGTGTGTGTGAAAGAACTCGCACGCTGTGCTGGTCGAAAGCGCGCACCTCACTGTAGGGGTCCCGGTCGTGGACGGCGTCTGCGGACCGCGATAGACGACGTCGTGGTGCTCGAAGGCGATTGCCCGCCGCAGATGTGTAATTCGGAGCGGGAGTGACGGAGCGATAATCGGTGTCTCCGTCGACGCCACGAAGTCGTCCACGATACTCCGGTTTCAGACGGAACGATTCCCCGGCCGACACCCCATTCCTCTGCGTATTCTCCTGATGTAGCTTCAGCTCAGGTCTCGTTGACCGCTTTTTGCCACGGGGAGAGGAATTAGGTGAGCACATCTGCATCACAACAACATTACGTAAGCATAGGCATTAAAGCAGAAAATACGTTCCAACGCTATTCTACGGAGAAACATAAGCACAACATGTGCACATAGCTGAAGGGAGGTATTAGGTTGTAGGAAATAAGCTTAGCAGTAAGCAGCTAGCAGAATGCTCATAGCCAGTATTTGGTAAAGAAGAAGAAATGAATAGTCAAAATCTACGTCCTCCAACATACTGCCTTTTATAGCGCCCTCATTATCAGTGGTAGCCCTAATTAGCAATTTGAGGGAGGATGTTACGATAAATTGGATGTGAAAGAAAGGGAGGGGCATGCTCACTACAAAAAACGGCGGGCTCTCAAGTAAGCGAGTAGAGAACGGATCGCGATGAAAGGTGCGCTACCTGGGAAGCCCTAAGGCTGGTGTCAGAGTCCGCGATCTGTCGCGCAATCGCGCGAATCGCGCGAAGTATCGCGGGGGTAACAAGTGCCCGATCAATACTGCAAGGTGCTCTCCAATCCTGCCGCCATTTCTGCTTGATGGTGATGGCTGAATGACGACTGCTCATGATTCTACTTGTTTCATATTCAGTGTTTCAAATGTTCAAATGGGGCACTTGCAATTCTTTGCGATTCGCGCGAATCGCGCGACAGATCGCGGACTCTGACACCAGCCTCGGGCACAGATTGGTCTATGGTAAAAGATGGGTGTCCCCCAAGAGGCCCGTCGCGCGGCGAAGGAAGAGACGCAGATGCGGCAAAGGACGAGTCGCAGCGCGTGCTGTGCGATATGAGACGTAGTATGGTACACTCTATTTAACCTGACGCCTAACCGCTACAGTATGCGCTGCGACTCGTCCTTTGCCGCGTCTGCGTCTCTTCCTTCGCCGCGCGATGGGCCTCTTGGGGGACACCCGAAAAAATCGCCGTCTGCGACGGGAAGAGAGTAGAGAGGTCAGAGCAGTGCGTTCACATCGATGACATGATCCACGGCCTAATATCCCCCAGAACGGATATTGAAGCACATGGGTCCCACTTCATGAGATTCGAGCCGTTTCCTCTCGGATTTGGGAACATTCTCTACCACCCCTTCTTTCACATCTGAATAGGCTTCGAGTTTTTCGTAACATCCACCTTCGGAAGGCAGTGAGCTCATAATTGGAAGCTGATCAAGCTATGATAGTGGCGATGCGAAATGGAGTGGCAGTGGTAATGAAGTAAAAAAGCCGTGAAGCACACCACGAAATGGAGACCACTAAAACTTTGTCCATTGGTTTTGGAAGAGCCCAGGTAATCGTGATTTGATGAAATTTATGGCACTATTTTTCATCGCTGTGATGAATGTTCTCGGACATTTTGACTTCACCCCTACGATAGACCCCTTTGCAAGCAGTAGCATCAGCATTTTGCAGATTGCTTCACCGTGATTCCTTCTCCACCGTGAGACCATCGCGCCTGTTCTATTGTTGTACTACAGCAGGACACGTTGACTTTCTGTTCTCCCGGTCCGCGACCAGGGAGAATAGAAAGTGCATACTGAATGCCTCAGCAATACATACCTCTGAACAAATGATCAAACTTGTTGGATCTCTGGCATCTTTCTGTTTTCTTTCACAGTGAGGACATTTCTACTAACCATAAGTACACCACCATTTTTACTTGGGTCATCATATTTCGAAAAATTACATAGAGGCCAATTTCAGTAAATTCAGTATCAGGCCCATTTTGGTTCTCTAAATAACGCTTCTGAGCCGTAATAATTATAAGGATCGTCGAAGTCAGCGAGTACGATAATTCCATTGTGGACCGGTGGAAATGGAAACCAGGCCATGGAGGACGGAATTTTTGCGTTTTCGTGGCCATAAGCGCGCCAGTAGCAGCACAAATATGTTTCACCTGAGACTAGCCCGCCCCAAACTAACCACGCCTCCAAATGCGGTGGCTGACCTTTCCCACACTATCAGCATAAAGGATAAAAGGATAAAGCATTTGCCGTTGATCAATCCCTTTTTGGGATGCGGCACGCATTCTACTTCCATTTGTACATTCGTAGTGGCGTTTGAATGCGATGTGGCCTATACAATGACTTGCGGGGGCCAGCCGATGTACAAGTCAGTGTTTTTTATCCTCCCAGACAAGTCTGGTACCAATTAACCGACCCCGGAGGGATGGAAGGCTTGGTTGGCCCGGGCGACTCACGACCCAGGATTTGATCCCCGGACCGCTCGCGTGGTAAGCGTGCCACTTGCCACTACACCACTTCCGCCCGCTGTTAGCTTATGAAAATATTCAATGAAGGATAACCGTATGTTTTGATCTGGTGTTACTCTATTTACATAATAAGGGGGTTTCTCGTTCAAACTTGAGTTCGTGCAAGTTCAACGGAGGGAATGAGTCTCCCATTTCTTGGTTTTTAAGAGGGTAGGAGGGTTGGATTAGGTTTTTAGTGGGTCTTTCTTTTTTGCTGCAACACTTTGGCACCCCTACTTCCACATTTTCCACAACATATTATCGTACTCACTGCTGCTGAGACTAAGGGTTATTCAAAGGGCTAGGTCTTACATCAAAACTGTCGAGATGTCGCAGTTACTGGGAGACAGGGCTCTATTTATTAGACTTACATGAATTTTACTGCCTACAACCTAATACTTGAAAGCTGTAGGTGAAAGGATGGGTAGCATAACAGAATAATGGCGGTTAACTAACCCTTTTCATCACTTTGACCATATGCGATGTCATCGCCGGATACTGATGATAATTGAGCACTTCAACAATGAACGGACCATAATTCGCTTTGCCTTTGTTATGTATAAATGTCGGATAATGCTGAAAAAA